TCCCGCTCAGAATAACAGAAAGACAGAGTGGGAAGGGACCTTGGAGGTCATCTAGTCCAACCCCCCAGCTCAAGCCTTACAGAATAACAGGAGTTGGAAGGGACCTTGGAGGTCTTCTAGTCCACCCCCTCCCGCTCAGAACAACAGAAAGACAGAGTGGGAAGGGACCTTGGAGGTCATCTAGTCCAACCCCCCAGCTCAGAATAATAGAGTGGGAAGGGACCTTGGAGGTCATCTAGTCCAACTCCCAGCTCAGAATGACAGAGTGGGAAGGGACCCTGGAGGTCATCTAGTCCAACCCCCAGCTCAGAAAAACAGAGTGGGAAGGGACCTTGGAGGTCATCTAGTCCAACCCCCCAGCTCAAGCCTTACAGAATAACAGGAGTTGGAAGGGAGCTCAGAGGTCTTCTAGTCCAGCCCCCTGCTCAGAAGAACAGAATAGCAGAATTGGAAGGGACCTTGGAGGTCATCTAGTCCACCCCCCCCAGCTCAGAATGACAGAATGACCGAGTGGGAAGGGACCTTGGAGGTCATCTAGTCCAAGCCCCCAGCTCAGAATGACAGAGTGGGATGGGACCTTGGAGGTCATCTAGTCCAACCCCCTGCTCAGAATGACAGAATGACAGAGTGGGAAGGGACCTTGGAGGTCATCTAGTCCAAACCCCCAGCTCAGAATAACAGAGTGGGAAGGGACCTTGGAGGTCATCTAGTCCAACCCCCCCTGCTCAAAGAGGAGACCCTGCACCATTCCAGACAAAGAGGCTGTCCAGATTTTTCGTTAAAAAACCCCCAGGCGCGAAGCACCCATCAATTCCTGGTGGCAAGGAGTTCCACTGCTTAATGGGTCAGGAAATGTCTCCTTTAATTCCAGGGTGCTTCCCTCCTCAGTTAGTTTCCCTCCATTGCTTCGTGCCCTGCCTTCAGGGGCTTCAGGGGAAAATAAGTTCACCCCCTCTTTTTCAGGGGGAGGGGGAGCCCCTCAATCAGTCAATCAGGCCGGAATGGAGCTATTTTCTAAGGCTTTTTAAAGCATTTTGAAAAATCTAAAAAAAAATATAGCTGAACTTGGGGGGGGGATGGCCACGCCCACCTAGTCACATGACTCCCTCCACCACTAAGCCACGCCCACAGAACCCGTGGGGGGGGTTAGATTTCTCCACTGGGTAGGGCTTATATGACCAGCATCCTGAAAAATCCCGCTAGGTTTTATTTTGGGGGGGGGAGCCCTTGGGCAAATCCGAATCGTGGCCCCTGGTGCCACGGATTTACATGTTGCACCAATCCAGGATCAGATGTGTTCAATGAAAGGTGCCACGTGAATCTGCCCGCTGCTGTTGGGGCATAACACAAGGGAGCAAACCACCTTAAGGCCTGTTGAAGCCATAAACCTGGTTAAGCGAACCATGGTTCAGAACAGAGCGTGCCTTTGTTCCACCCCCACCCCAATCCCCCACCCCCCAGGTACAATTTCAGGCTTCCGAGTTGCCCCACTACAGGCAGTCCTCGACTTACGACCAATTTCTGTCGTTAAACAGGACATTTAAGCGACTTTTGCCCCGTTTTACGAGCTTTCCGGTCACCGTTGTTAAGGGAATCCCCGCGATTGTGAAATTCGTCACACGACGGCTAAACGAATCTGGATTCCGCATTGGACTTCGGTTTGTCCGACGGTCGTTAAACGGGTAATCACGGGACGGCCGGGACACTGCAACCGTCATAAATAGGAGTCAGTTGCCAGGCGGCTGAATTGGGCTCCTGTGACCCTGGGGATGTTCTTAATTGAAGTGTGGAAACGGCCGTAAGCCGCTTGGTTCCGTGCGGTCGTAACTTGGAGCGGTCGCTAAATGAATGGTTGTAAGTCGAGGACTACCTGTAACAGTGGGAAGGGACCTTAGAGGTCTTCTAGTCCAACCCCCTGCTCGGGCAGCAAAAATCTGCGGGCATGTGTGCCGTCGGCCCAGCGCATGCACAGGGGGGGGCGTGGCATGTGGGAGCGGGTTGTCACACGCGCATTGCATTACGGCTGCAGGCGCATGCTTACCTTCTTGGTCCACCTCGCGGTAGCGTCGACTACCACGGGCTGCCTCTGTCCCCGAACGTTTGGCTGAGCGATTCACTGTCGTACGAAACGCAAAGAACGAGCGTTCAGGATATCAGCCGGATCCGGGAAGACCGAATCCACACGGAACCCTTGGGCCAAGGCCACCTTCAGGACCTCTTCCAGGAATTGGTTGGAGGAGCTGATCTCTCGCCCGTCCACCCGTAGCCGGCGGAACTTCTGTTTGGCGTACTCCGCGGCGGGCAGTGCGGCCGGCCACGGGGCCCACTCCAAGCACAGATGGTGGCACGTGGTGGCTTCTACGCGGGACCTTCCCGGAGAACCGTCCGGCGTCTCGTCATCCGTCTCCGTGTCTTCGTCCGAGGAGTCATCCGGACAAATTCTCCGGTCGCCATTAGTAGACCACCTCTTCCTTCCTTCGCCTTCCCGGAGGGTTGGCTGAGTTTTGGGAAGACCTGATCCTTTCCGTGACGGGTCCGGCTGTCCGTCAGAAGACCCTTCGTCCAAATTCCCGTTGACACACTCAAGGCGGCCCAGATGCCTACGCAGTACAGCCAGGAAGTGCCGGTCGGTGCAGAAGACGTTCGCGGTGAAGATCTCCACGATGCAAGAGCTGAGCTCATAGTTTTGGGGTCCGCGGCGCACGTTGAAATGCAGCCGGCGCTGGGTCACATCCACATCGGCATGGAGCACCGCGTTGCTCCTCTGGCGCCATCGCTCTGCCTCGACCCGCCGCAGTTGTTCCAGGAGCGGACGGATCTGGTAGAAGTCCGCTTCGGCCCGCAGCAGGGAGAGCTCGGTGTAGCCCTCCGGAAGGTCCAGGCGGCCGAACCGGAGGAAGTTCAGGATGTGACGGAAAGTCTTGCCATCACGGTCGATGAAGTAGTTCCCGCAGCTGTCCAGGAGGGCCGGTTGGGGACCCCGGAACATGGCGCCCAACATGGAATCAGGGAAGCGGGTCAAAGTTTCCAGGGTGGTGCTGTAGAGTTTACCCCCCACGTTCAGGGTCACCAGGGGGCCAAGCCGGCCTGGGCCCTGGCAAGTGTCCGGCATCCTGACAAAGACACCTGTGGGAAGACGAGAAGGGGGTACGTGATTTGGGGTGTGCTGGATGGGTGCGCCCGCTGTTTTCCCGAGCTTCCTATGTCATCCTCTGTAATCGTTTGGTACTTTTTATTATATTTCCATTTAATATATATTATATATTAATGCGCAATATACTATTTTGTTCAGGAGGGGTGGGGTGGTCTGGAAGTGGAGCTCTCGCCTCAATCGGGCGGCTGTGAGTTCGATCCTAGGCAGAGAATTTCTCTCTCTGGGCACCATGAGAATATTATCTGCTGAACAAAACTCCGTACTGGCATCAGGGAAGAGCATCCGGCCATGAAATCACTCTGCTGGCTTCATTCAGTTGCCCAGACTCCACCCCGCAAGGGATTACGGGCTCGTTAAATGAAGGTGATTGATATTATAGTGTTAGACTTATCAGTACAATTTAGCCCCGTTTTAATGACTTTTCTTGCCACTGTTGTTAAGTGAATCACTGCAGTTGTTAAGTGAGCAACACGATTGTTAAGTGAATCGAGCTCCCCCCCCGTTGATCACAGGATACTGCGACTATCCGGATTTTGACCCCGCGATCCACTGAAACGTTTGTTAAGAGTGAAAAATGGTCCTAGGTCACTTTTTTCAGCACTGTCGTAACTCTAAACAGTCATTAAATGAATGGTTGTAAAGTTGAGGATTACCTGTATTGGGAGCCATACAGAGTTACTGTAACAGTGAGGGGGGCATAATAATTTGATAAAGATAGATAGATAGATAGATAGATAGATAGATAGATAGATAGATAGATAGATAGATAGATAGATAGATAGATATAAAAAGAGAGAGAGGAAGCTAGAGATAGATAGTGAAAGAGAAAGAAAGAAAGAAAGATAGATAGATAGATAGACAGATATAAAAAGAGAGAGAGGAAGATAGAGATAGATAGCGAGAGAAAGAAAGAAAGAAAGATAGATAAATAGATATAAAAAGAGAGAGAGGAAGATAGAGATAGATAGCGAGAGAAAGAAAGAAAGAAAGATAGATAAATAGATATAAAAAGAGAGAGAGGAAGATAGAGATAGATAGCGAGAGAAAGATAGATAGATAGATAGATATAAAAAGAGAGAGAGGAAGATAGAGATAGCGAAAGAGAGAGAAAGAAAGAAAGATAGATAGATAGATATAAAAAGAGAGAGAGGAAGATAGAGATAGATAGTGAAAGAGAAAGAAAGAAAGAAAGATAGATAGATAGATAGACAGATATAAAAAGAGAGAGAGGAAGATAGAGATAGATAGCGAGAGAAAGAAAGAAAGAAAGATAGATAAATAGATATAAAAAGAGAGAGAGGAAGATAGAGATAGATAGTGAAAGAGAAAGAAAGAAAGAAAGATAGATAGATAGATATAAAAAGAGCGAGAGGAAGATAGAGATAGATAGCGAAAGAGAAAGAAAGAAAGAAAGATAGATAGATAGATATAAAAAGAGCGAGAGGAAGATAGAGAT